ATTTGTTTATGCATACAAGAACTGGGGTGGAGGCCAGAGGTGGGGGAGAGGGCGGTGAGAGGATGAGATTCACCAGAGACAGAGTGGGGAGCAGATCAAATGGATCTACTGATATACACTGCTGAGGGGAGCAGCGGGCAAGACAGGGGAGGTCTGCTGTACCCATTGGGTCACCTCCCTGGCTGGGGATTGAACCCAGACCACAGTGGCTGACAATAGCTTGATAGCACCAAGACTTAACCCCTGCACCGCCAGGAAGGGCCCTGTATTAGGAATTTCAAGCCAAATTTTCTTGCTGTTTAACATGGTGTTTGGTGGTAACTATCCCAGGTAAGCAATGTTTGGGTTCTATTTCTCCCTTCAAGGGTCTCTCTCTAGATTTTGGAGTAACTGTTGGCCCTGTGACTTTAGTTCTCTATGGTTTTAAGAAAATTTGTTATTTCACAATTTATCCAACTATGTCTCCTCGTGTAAGCAAGAGTGGCATTTTTTAAAGCTTTCTATTTGGAGCTTAAATTAAGAAATAGTCTTGTTTGTTTTGGAACTTAAATATAATAGTTGATGAAAGTACCCTTTGGTTCTCAAAAGAAGTGCAAACTCGTTTGCTGTAGTGGCTTACAGTAGACAGGGAATTGGGATGTATTCTCAGAAACATCTCTCTCCTTACCTATAAAGCATTTCTTGGCTTTCGAAGGGTAGTGAAGGACAAGCAAAATAGATATCATTTATCATGTGGCTATCCTTAACAACACTGACCATTATCTGGGGACTCAAAGTAGACAGATGGAAGGCTTAATAGCCTCCAAATACTGGCATTCTGTTCACTGCTAGTTATAAAGTTTCAAATCTTTTCCTGCCCTCTTTCCCTTTGGATTATAAAGGAGAATTTTACAGGCATGGAGATGAACTCCCATAGCACAAAAATGGAAAGCATAGAGCAGCCAGCTACAGCTTGGGTTTGCCAAATAATATAGGCTTGAAGTAGGAGGGCTGAACTATTCTCTCAGAGTCCAGTAAAATCACCCTGAGAAGCATATGGTCAGTTGTGGTCTCTGGCCCTCAGTCCAGTCACCTACATGGAGGGCATGACAACCCTTTCAGAACTGTTTTTCAGAGGTAAGGAGCTAGAAATATTTTTTAAATGAAGTAATGCTGATTTGTATCATTTCTAGACGACGGTGGAGAGAAATGAGCACAACACTTCCGTGTATTGCTGTGGTGGTGTCATGATTAGCCTGAAGCTCTGGAAAATAAGAGGGAGGAGAGTCTCTTTTACCCCCAATCCTCATGAAACTTTGTTGTGTAGAGACACCGCTGTTTTCAGATTGCTAGCTTCCCTACCATGAACTTAGTTTAGCCTGACAAATGCACACTTGTTCCTCAGATTTAAACAACAGGCTCCCAGGAATGCTAACATCTACATTATATGTTGTATAGTGAGGTAATTGTGGTAGCAAGACAGAGCTACTCAATTATCGTAACAGAACCCATATAAATAATGACAAAAGTTAGTAAGTCAAGAAATAGCAGTTGCAAGTCAGACATCTGATAAGGAACTTGTGTCCAAGAAAACAGAAAACCCCTACAAATCAGCACTTGAAAACCAACAACCCAATTTAAAAATGGATAAAGGATTTGAATACAGTGGTTCCTCCCCCACCCCTTAACCACAGTTTCCTCTTTTGCAGTTTCAGTTACTTGTGGAAATCTGTGGTCCACAACTTTTATAGTCACTACTATAAGATAGGTTTGAGAAAGTGAGAGAGTAAGAATGCATTTAACTTTTATAGCAGTAAATCATTCTAATGTTAGTTCTTGCTGTTAATCTCTTACTGTGCCTAATTTTATGTTAAACTTTATTGTAGGTCTATCTGTATAGCAAAAGCAAGGTATATGGGACTCAGTACTACAGTAACAGAGTGGTCCCCAGGAAAAGGGGAGGTTCCAGGTTCCTTGCCCCACCCAAAGGGAGGGTGGAGCTGGGAGGAGAGAGGAGACTGAAGAGGAAGGAAGCAGGATGGAGAGTCAAAGGGAGACCTGAGGGAGGCACAAGGGACAGAGACATGTGAAGAAACTGCACTTGCTTCTTCTTGGCCCTGGACTGGCTGAAACAGCTGTGGGTGAGAGACCCCTGGGGAGGTTGACTATGGCAGCATTTAATCTTGATTTTGATTTTGCTCTTTTACTCCAGATTTATCTGGACATTTCTGACCCTTTTGCCTTGGGTCCCTGCCGGAACGTGCTTTAGACGTGTGGCGGGCTTTCAGGCCTTGCTTTGGGCCAATCCCTTTTGGGTGGACTTTTACACACAAGGGGATGGGTGTCTGGGTGTTTGATTTAGAAACTATATTGTTTATTTTTTCTGTATTGCACACTAATTTTATTAAAGTTTTTTTTTTCATTGAAGGTCTTATATGATTTGTCTTGATGTGGTGGCTGGCAGAACCTATTTAGAGCAGGCAGGTTTGGGGGTTCAGGGGTGCACCTCTCCCTGCCTTGTAACACTACCTTTGACTTCAGGCATACACTGGGGATCTTATAATGCCTTGTAACACTACCTTTGACTTCAGGCATACACTGGGGATCTTATAATGCATCCCCCACAGATAAAGAGGGACTACTATACACTTCTCCAGAGGATATACAAATGGCCAGTAAAGATATTAAAAAGGGCCCTCCCTGGTGGCTCAGCAGGTTAAAGCACTGCACTAAGAAGCTTAAGCCACTTCTGCATGAGTTCGATCCCTGCCTGCCCAGGAGGAGATCCACCTGGCGCAGCAGACCTCTCCTGACCCGCCCGCTGCTCCCCTCAGCAGTGTACTTCCTCCATCTGCCTGTTCTGCTCCCCGCTCTGTCCCTTGTGAAGCCTCTCACCCTCCACATCTCTGGCCTGTACCCCAGTTCTGTATGAATAAATAAATAAATCTTTAAAAAAAAAGATATTAAAAAAATGTTCAGCGTTAGCCATCAGGGAAGCATAAAACTACAGTGGCACTTCACTCACTACCCTCAGTACAATGGCATGTGTCAGTGAGGATATGGAGACATTGGCACCTTTATACACTGCTGATGGAATAGTCAAATATCACAGTTGCTTTGGAAAACAGTTTAGCCATTCTCAAAAGGTTGAACATAGAGTTACATCTTGACCCAGCAATTCTAGTCCTAGTTATATAGTCAAGAAAACTGACAACATATTTACACTCAAAAGCATGTGCACGAACGTTCAGTGCCAATGCACGCTACGGCACACGACAGCATGACTGCACCTGGAAAACATTACAGTACATGAAGGATGTCAGATACAAGAGGCTATAGATTGTGCAATCCCACTTATGTAAAATGTCCAGAGTAGTCAAATCCATGCAGATAAAAAGTAGATCAGAGTTTGCCAGGGGCTAGGAGGAAGAAAGAATGAAAGCACCAATATATGCTAATGGCTATGGTCTTTCACTTCAGGATGATAATAATGTTATGTAACTAGATCATGGTGATTTCGGAATGCTGTTAAAATACTAAAAGTTACTGAATTCTACACTTTAAAATGGTGCATTTTGTGGTATGTAAATTACACTTAATAAACTGTTTTAAAAAAGAAATAGCATGTTATTTGGAAATATGAAGGTAAGTACCAGAAAAACAAACTTGATAATTAATGTACTGATTTTGTAAGCAGTTGCCCCTGGAGAGTGGGGATGTGGAATGAGAAGGCAGATTGTAGTTTTTAACAGACTAAATGCTGTTTATGTAGCAGTCCCTCTTTATCCTTTGATAAAAATTTAAATGAGCTAAAAGTGAAAAAGGTGTGTGCGCATACACGTTGCGAGGACAAATCAGAAGAGACTCAGATACATTACAGCTGAGGTTGGAGCCAGGATTCTGCACTTTAAATAATATATCTAGGTGATTTTGATGCCTGTGGTCTGGAAGTAGGTACCAAACTTCGGGAAACACTACTAGGTTAAAATGAATTGTGGTATAATCCCTCCCCTGCTGTTGCTCTGGGAGTGGCAAGCTCAGTTGCTAAAGAATGAAATTACATTCTGAAGGCTATGTGCTCAGTCAGGGACAGAACTGAGCCAAGAAATGAGGCCTTTTGACTTGATAATTAATGTACTGATTTTGTAAGCTTCTATTATGAGTTATAGTTACCGAACGAGTAAAATAAATTCTTTGAAAACGGCAAGTCTGGTGGTAACTGATGCCTGAAAAAAATATTAAGATTTTACAAACCATGTCTTCCCATTTCATGTCCGTGTTAACAAACCTGTAAGGCGAAAGGAGGGACCTTTTCCACAGTGAAGGAAGAAACCTAGTAGGGATTTTACTCAGCAGGGACTCCAGGAAATCAAAGGGACTTTGTTACCTGAGAACCCCCAACTCACAAATAGCAGTTAGGACCTTGAGTGCCCATCAGACATGGCATTACCCCCTTAGCTCCCTAGACTTATTCCTGGGGAAAAGGAGAGAACTTCCTCAAGCTTCTGACAGGGTGCTGATCTTGCTGGGGAAAGGGCAGGGCTGTTCAACAGAGCTCATACACTCTGTACCTCATTGATTTCTGCGGCCCCTGAAGGCAAGATTTATCATTTCACTGGTCACAAGACTGTCCCTTAGTGTATCTGTAGCAACTGCTAGGTTGATTACAGCAGCTTCCAATCCCAGAGGTAATGTGAGTTTTACTGATCATTTCACATCATGACGACAGGGATTTTAAGTGTCACTGCGGCCTTCATTAACTCATTGACCAGTTATTTTGATAACTTGGTATGTATCTTCCTATATTTTAATCTTTTATTATTTATCTTATGAAAAAAGTAATTTTATTTTTTTTAAGGAAAGTACAGATGAGCGAAAAAATAATCTCCTTTACTGCCACCACACAAAGAAAACCATTCCCTTTTGGTCTACTCATTGCAGTTTTTTCCCTGTGCATGGTTACATTATGTAATTAACTGTGTGTGTATCTGTTTTGGTCAAAAACGGGCTGATGCTGTATATGCGGTTCTGAAAACTGGTTTTTCTTTATTGTTACTTTACAATGTACCATGAACATCTCTTCCATGCACATGGGTGGAAACTCCCCTACCGATAGACAAAGCACTGTAGTTGGATCAAAAGGCTGCTGGTAACACGAGTGACACCTAACGCAAAGTATCAGCATGAGGTCAAAGCACACAGCCTGGCAAACGCCTGCCAGGGAAAGCAGGGGGCAAGGTTCTCACTAGAGAACTGGGAACTGAAGGTCAAAGGCATTACACATACGGAACATCTTCTAAGTCCTTCTGGCCCCTGCCTCCGCCCCGCACTCCCCTGACACCCCGTTGGCCCCTCGGGGCAAAAGGATCCTGTACATCTCTTTGCATCCAATGAAAACCGCCCATTTTCTGCTTTTTCCTCAGCTCTTCCTGAGCCCGGGACACATCTCCACCTTCTCTCATCACCTCCTCACTGCCCGCATGCCTTTCCTGTAGGTTCTCCTGACAGTCTTTGGGGGAGTCCTCTGCCCCCCTGTCCGTTTTCCTTTTGGCTTTCCGGGGCACGTAATCCTCGGCCGGGCGCTTCTCGGCAGCCCGCAGCGCGCCCTCGGGCTGGCCCTGGGGCTCGGGCCCGCCCTCCCCGCACGGACTTCCCTCCTCCTCCGACCTGCCCTGCTGCTTCTGCCGCCCCTCATCTTCCGATTGTCCCCCGTCGTCTGCCTGCCCCTCGTCCTGGCGCTTTCTGTGTTCTGGGTTCCTCTTTATGTGCGGCATTTCGTCCTCCTCTGACTTGTCTCCGTCCTCAGGCTCCACTTCATCTTCTGGCTTTCCCCCGCTTTCCAGCTTTCCTTCATTTTCTGGCTTTCCTTCATTTTCTTTGTAGACCTTTTCCATGCTGAGATTTTCCCTCCTTTGCCTGTCTGGGAGACAAAGAGGAGACAAAACAAGCTGAGGATGGAGGTGGTGGAATTTAGCACTTGCCTTCGACTCAGGCCAGGGGAATAAGATGGTGACCCTGTCCATCCCCACTTCCTGGTGCACACTCACCCATATATTTTTCCGTTTCTTCCAACTCATACATGTTTATATGAACCAACCTTGCCAAAACTTCCACAGGTCTTTCTCTCTACTTTAAATGGGGTGTGCTGACAAGGGATAAGAGACCTGTCCCTTACTGTGGCCACGGCCACGTCCATATCAATGTTAACTTAGTACCAACTTACCTTGGCCTACAGGAATCCTGCTCAAGCTCTTCTTTCCCACCTCGCGGGCAGTTGCAAGACGTAGAGACCCACAGACCCAACAGAGCAATGGCCAGTTTCCAGGGCTATTCTAAGAACCTCAGGAGGCTTCACAGATGCCACACCTCTCTTCTCTCACTGCTTCTCTCACTGCTTGTTCTCCCCCTTAGTCTCACCACCCAAAAAGCACCATGTTCCTTTAGGGTCCCGACTGACCCTGCAGTGGCTCCCCACTGGAAGGAGATGGTGGAAAGGGGTGACCTCACAACTGCTCAGGCTTAAGCCACTCCTGCTCCCAGGGTCCTGGGGCAGTCCCTCTCCCACTGACCTGCGCTGATCCTGCAGGTCTTTCCTCTTCTTGCCTGGGTTGGTGCCTACAACCACAGACCTGAAGACCTGCGGAGAGGCCAGAGACAGAAGGGTGTGAAGACTGAGAGTGACCGGCCCTGGGATACTGCTTCTCTTCTCACTCCAGGCGTCAGAATTTATCCAACTTTGGCCCAAACCCTTGACCTTGCCTCTGGATACTCCTTTACAGTTCTCCCCACCCATCCCAAGTTCTCCATTTTTCTATGACTGGGCAAGGAATTTCCAGTGTTTCTGAATCCTCCTCCCAAATTTTGAGCTCACTTTTGCTTGCACTGAAATGGCTGAAGTTCAGAGCAGCGATATTCAGAAGGCTGATCCTGCTGTCAGTTCTCTCCCGTCCAAGCCCCCCACCCCAGGGCACCCAGAGAGCACAAAGCCCATCACTTCTCCCAAAGTGGTGTTGGTTGAGGAGGGGGGGGCAAGGCAGAAATGTCCAGAGCGGCCTTGCCATTCCACCCCTCCCACCGCCTCTCCCATACACTACATTTTCCTGCGATGCAAGGAAGAAATTGTTTCCAAACTCCGCACAACGTCTGGTCCATGTTACCTCCTCTGAACCCTTCCTAGTTCAGAAGTCGCTCCTCTGCAATAGGAAGCTGGTGGCCGGACTGAACCTCTGTCCCGCGGCTCTGCAGCACCTCCTCTCCCCCCACCCCCCGCCCCCGCAGCCCACCGTTTCCGGCTCCAAAATGGACGGAAGGTGGAGAAGAGATACGGAGAACGCAGGCCTGGCCCCTTTACGGGGTCCGCCCTCCCCATCCCGGGCTCGCAGGCTGTGCCCTCCTCCCGCCGCCCTGCGGGGATCCAGGGATCAGGCTGTTTCTTCGCCGTCCTGTTCTCTGGTCCTTCCCTTCCAGACGTCACCGGATCGCCCACCTCCTAAGAGATTCCAACTGGTACCCATTCTCAACCCTTGGTTGCTCTCAATCTCCTCCCCCGCTTCCCCCCACCCCCAAGCCCTCCATTTCTTGCACCAAACAAATGGGCCTCGGGCAAGGGGTAGAGAGAATCCAATCCTGGCCGCGCTCTGGTCTTTGCTCTCTGCCACCCCCACCCCAGAAGTCCGCAGACGGAGGTGGATTTGTAGCCACCCCAGGGAGACGCGTCCTTCTCACGTTTCTTTCATCCATAAACCCGCACTTATACAGGGTAATGAGAGATGGTACCCAGACCGCTTCCCCAACACTCACACAATTTTCTGCGCCAAAATGAATGGGAGTGGGAGGGGGGTGGTGTCTGGAAAGCAGACCCGAGCCTCGGTAGCCTGTGTCGGTTGCCACCTCCACCCCCGAGCTTCCTCCGCTTACTGCCCCACAGCGAGTACCAACCTGCCGGGCTGGGGGCAGCTGTCCCCTCTGTGCCTCAGAGTGAAATCTGTCTTCCTCCACGGGAACAGGGAGCTGGTACCTGGCGGAGAGGGACTTCTGCACACGTCGGCTCCTGATCACGTGAGGGCAACGTCACCAGTGGGCTTGGGTCCCTGGTTCCCCTCCCACCAGCAGAAAGTGCGTCAAGAGCCAGCCCACTTCTTCCCTCACTAGCCCCCTTCCGCCTCAGCCTCCCTTCTGTCTCCTCCCCTCAGCATTTGAGGCCCTGTCACCCATTTTAGTTTTTACTAATCCCAGAGGTCAAATATGGCCTTTCTCCTTGCCGTATGTATTTGTTCTTCTGTCTAATGAGGGTGTGTGTAGTGAGGGGCGGGAAAGGGGGATGTTGCATGTTCTTCTGGGGCTACTGGTTCTTGCTACATCTCTGAAGATTTATTTTTCTCTTTCCTTTGATCTCAAAGCACCTCCACTCTCAATCTACTTGTCACTTAGTCACTAAATGCTCATCCCCCGCCCCTGTCCTCCAGACCTTCACGTAACAGGCACAGGATGGATTCTTGAGGGTGGGGAGTTGAAATAGGGGCTTAATTTTCTTGTAGTATTTTCTTTCAGTCTAATTTACTCCTCTCAGCATAGGTTATTCTTATAAGCAAAAATTTAAATAAAGCTATTTTCTTTCATTTGGGGGGAAAGAAAAGTGTTTAAGATTGAGGGAAACCCAACAAGATTCCAAAATTCTGAAGCCAAGTCAAGTTCATGACATCAATTTTTATTATATGGAAAATGGACTTGACTGGCTACATACAAAGTATTTTTTTTAATTTTTATAAATATTGGAATCTGTCATGTTCTATTAAAAATGCATGCATTTAATGTTCCCAAAAAGTTCCTGAGTGCTTAGCAGACTTTCTGGAATCTGCTGGATGATACAATATTAATCTTGAAAATATGTCCCATGGTTATTTTCATTCAAAGGTTTAGCTGTGGGCAAAGGGAGCATAGGGTCTGAGAGATGCAGACAGTCTGATCTCTCCTGCCCTGTCAAGAGGAAAGAATCTGTTGTCTCCCTGCCCCTTCTCACCTTCCAGAGTCTCTCATGTCCTGCATTCAGGCACCTGATAGGTTGCTCACTCCAAAAATATACACGGAAAGGTCACTGAGCTGGTTACCTGAGTAAATGTCTTTGGCTCCTTCCATCCCTCCTCTAAATTCCCGCAGAGGTAACTCAGCCCAAGTAGAGACAGGAATGTTAATAAGATAACTGCAAATGAGAACAGATCACCTCTATATCTCTGCAGCAGCATGTTTGCAATAATCAGCAGTTGCTGGGAGCTACCCTCCAGATCCTCCTGTTCTTTGCCCTTATTCACTGTGCCCTTACTCACAGTCTCTCCAGGTAGAAACTTCTTGAAGCCCTCCCAGTTGCCTCAGTTGATTTAGGAGGGGCGACTTGCTGAGTCTCTGTCTCTTGTCTCCAGAATCCTCACCTCCAGGGTGCCTAGAAAGACCCTAGCGCTGGCTTAAATACATTGAGTCAAGCAAAGGTGACATGAGTTTATTTAAGAACCAAGAGTGAGAACTTGAGTCTGAAACAGCCTCCAGATAACTCTAGGAAAGATGAGAACTTTACATTGTTGGCAAGGAAAACATTTTCAAGCATCTAGGCAGGTGTCTGGTTATTGTGTCTAGTTGATGTTGTGTATGTACTCAGGGAAACAAGGGGGGTTGTTAAAATTTACCCTATCTATTTAAAATCTTATCTTCTGGGAACTGGGAACTTTATTTGCCGGGAGACGAGTCTTTGCTGTTGCTGACACAGCTACTTTCAAGAGCCAGTCCAGCTGTATTTTGGCACTTTGACTTGCACCCCTTACTTGACCAGGGAGAACGGCACTCTTTTCATTGGTGATTCTAGTTTACACTAGCCATGCCACAGGGTTGCATTCTGTTAGTCCACACCCTCCTTGGTGCCCACTCTGTCAAATTCAGGCCAGTGTCTTAGAAACTCTGACAGGTGGCCATACTGACTGACCTCAGCTAAGGAAGTCTGAGTCCCCTTTAAGTGCTATGCGTGGTGGCCTACGCTTAGGAGATGATGGAACATGCACCCTACGGTAGGCTCTGCACCCTAGTAACTTAAGAAATCCTAATACATCACAAGGTTGGCATTACAAGGAAGCAAAGCTATTAGGTAGGGAGACAATAGAAGGAGACAAAGCTGGGGATGAGACAGAAGGGGGAAGAGACAAAGCAGCTGAGCCCTTTTAAAAGGAGGAAACAGGCAAGCTTTCTTAAGTAGGTACATCTATGAACTCACTGGTGCCATATTCAAAATTTTATTGATATGTTTTATGGTGGAGGGGTGACAGAGGATGTACAATCTCACCGGTGTGCATTGGCCTAAGATAGGCTGCATTGCTCTCGGGTGTTCCAAGGGTCATGCAATATACAAAAAGGGAAAGACGGCGCAGCTCTTGTCCCAGCACTTCCTGCCTGCCTCCTTGCAGGTGTATCTTTTCACAAACCTGTCCTTTTAATGGGCAGCTCCTTCCACCCACTTGTGTCTGAGCCGCGTCCTTTATTCCTTTCCTCTTTTACGTAACAGATCTGCCTTTTTGGCCATAAGAAAATAAAAATAAAAAAGGGAAAGGCCGATAGGCTTAGATAATATATATATATTTCAAATAGGACTACATTTTAAGGAAAAATTAACAAAATTAAACATTTATAAACATACAACTCTGGCAGATAGCACATTCACAGCACTGTGAAGCCTTTACCTCTAGCAAGTTCTAAAAACATTTCATTAACTCCAGAGGAGACCCATACTCATTAAGCAGCCCCTCTCAATTCACCCTTTTCTCTAATTCCAAGCAATGACTAACGTGCTTTTTGTCTCTGTGGAGTTACTTATTTTATGTGCTTCATATAAATAGAATCATACAATATATGACCTTTTGTATCTGGCTTCTTTCCTTAGCATTATGTTTTGAGGGCGGTGCTTTAAACAAAGGCAAGAAAAAAATCAGGTGAGTTTATTAAAGAATCAAAACTGAGGACTCAAGCCTGAGAACAGTGGCCAGGTAGCTCTGGGAAAATTGTCTGAATTGTGAACCCCATAATGAGAATGTTATACAGTCTGCAAAAAATATTTCACATTTTCAAGGATTTTTACAAAGTCCGGGGAGGTGTCTGGTTAGTGTATCCATTTGATGTTGTTTATGCATGGAGGAAAACAAGGAGGGTTGTTAAAATTTAACCTATTTAGAGCCTTATCTTCTGGGAACTGGGAGTTTTAGCAATGCCATTAATCTTGAAGTCTGTCTTTGAAGTTACTGATTTGTTCAGAAACTATTTTGTTTTATTGTTGACTCAGATTCTTCACAAAGCCAGTCCACTTGTGTTTGGCAATTTGGGTTTTGCTCTTTAGTGAGACAAGGGAGAGGGATACCCTTTTAATTGTTGATTTTAGTCTACAAGTAGCATGTACCATACAATAGTTCATTTCTTTCAATAGCTGAGTATTACTTCATTGTGTTATATATTTTGTTTATTCATTTATTTTTTAAGATTTATTTTATTTATTATGCATACAAAAATTTGTGGGGTTAGGCCAGATGTGGGGGGGGGGCGCTGTGAGAGGACTCACCAGAGACAGCGTGGGGGTGCAGAACAGGCAGATCAACTAAAATACATTGTTGAGAGGAGCAGCAGGGAAACAGGAGAGGTCTGCTGCCCTGGTCCACTCCCTGGCTGGGGGCCGAGTTCTTTCTGTAGGGGCTGCTGATAGCTTCATAGTGCTGAGACATTTTGCCTTGCCCCCACCAGGGAGACTCTGCTTATTCATTTAAATGCTGACAGATATATGGGTTGTTCCCAATTTGGATTTCTTTTATATCTTTCTCCTGACTACTTTACTCTAATTGGTCTTCTATTACTGTTTTTAATAGTATTTGTAAAAGTGGACATCCTCATCTTGATCGGATCTCAAAGGGAAAGTGTTAAATCTCTCACCATTTAGTGTAATGTCTACTGCAGTTTTGTCATATATGATTTTTGATTAACTTGTGGTATGTTAAAGTCCCCATTTTGGGGAGAATTTTATCATAAATGGATGTTGAATCTTGTCAAATGCTTTCTCTGTATGTATTTAGATGACTATGATTTTTATCTTTTGTTGATGTGAATGACTGATTTTAGAATGCTGATTAATTCTTGCATTTCTGGAATAAGTCCACTTGGTCATGATGTATAAAATAAATGTATTATTGAAATCTGTTTGCTAAGATTTTTGTGTCTATGTTCATCAGGGATATTAGTCTACCTTTTCATTTTTATTATCTGTCTGCTTTTAATAGCAGAGAATCTTGGCCTCATAAAATGTGTCTGAAAGCATTTCCATTTCATCGATTTTTTGGGGAAGAGTTTGAAAGGGATAGTTATGTGTGCTTGAAGGTTTGCTGAAACTCACTGGTGAAACCATATAGTCTTGGGTTTTGTGTTTTTGTGTTGTTGTTTTTTTTGAATTTTGACAACGGTTTCAACTTCCTTTCTTGTAAGGATATAATTGGTCTGTTCAGGTTTTCTATTTCTTCCTGAGTCAATCTTCAAAGGTTCTGTGCCTTTAAAAATTTGTCCATGTCCATCCAACTTATTGGCATGAAGATGTTCATAGTAGTCTTTTATGTTCCCTGTATTACTGAGATGTCTGTTGTAACCACTCTTGGGTTTTTGATCTTGTTTATTAGAATTTTCTCCTTTTCTTAGTGAGCTTAGCTAGAGATTTGTCTACTTTGTTTATGTTTTCAAAGAATTAACTTTTGGTTTTACTGATCTTTTGAACTTTAAAAAGGAATCTGTATTGTTTATTTCTGCTCTAATTTTTATTCTTTCCTTCCTACATCTGGCTTTTGGTTTCATTTGTCCTCTTTCTAGTTAGATTAGGTGTACAGTTAAAATATTTATTTGAGATCTTTCTTGTTTTTTGATATAGGCCCACTATAGACTTCCCTCTTAGCAATGCTTTGCTGCATCCCAAAATTTGTGGTAGCTTATGTCAACATTTTTGTCCCCAGGTTTTTATAAATTTCTTCTTTGATATCCTCATCAAACCAATAGTA